TTTTCCCCTTCCCTCTCTGTTCCCCCTCCCAAGATAATTTTTAAATCATAATAAAAATATCTTAATGCTCGACTTCAAGGGAGTATTCAAATTACTGCACTGCCTGTAAATTTGGTATTACTACACACTGCTAAAAATAACGTATAAGGAAACTAAATGTTTACTCAAAATGTTCTTTGTTCTCATAAAGTAAGTCTTTCCAAAGCACGGACCCACATGCTCTAGCCTCCCGCGTCCCTCTGTTTGAGGGAGCCATTCAGCCGCTCCCGGGCATCAGCACTGCCTACTGCTGCTGACCACACTGGTGAGCGGCTAGCCCTACATGCGCCAAAGCCACTAGCTTTTCTCAATCCACGGCGGCTACTGCAGAGGACATCTGCCGTTTCTCTAACAAACTTCCTCACACTCAACCTCGGTTGTTGCACAGTTTCACTAGTCAAAACATCTTGAAAGCCTTAGGATGTCTGCAAATTAATTCACAAGACAGTATCAACCTGCTAAGAGTCTCCCTTAAAAACATTCCATGCGAAAGGGGGAACTGATAGCAATGATTGATGTAGAACACACTCAAGGGGGGAAAATAACAGAAATGAGGGTGAAGGGAGACAGCGGAAGGTATAAGACATGAAAATAATAATTTATAATTTATCAAGGCTTCATAAGGGTGGGAGAATGGGGGAGGGAGGGAAAACAAGAGGAGCTGATACCAAGGGCTCAAGTAGAAAGAAAATGTTTTTAAAATGATGATGGCAACATACGTACAAGGGCACTTGGTATAAGACGATGTATGGATTGTTATAAGAACTATAAGAGCCCCCAATAAAATGAAAAAAAAAATTCCATGCTTTTCTACCACAGGATATGCTTAATTTTTTTCTACAGACACATAAGGAATCTTCCATTCTTTGGTATGATGGATCAACCATGTAAAATAAAATAGCTACATTCCCAGTCAACATGGAGAAAAATGCTTCACTGATCCTTTACCTGGGCTCCACGCTGAGGAAGTTGGGCAGTTTAACGAAATACAAATCATTTCCTAAATCAGTGTTCACTTTGGGGATTTCTACTTCTATTCTGGTCTCGGGAATTGGCTCTTCCTCCTGCTGATCCTGAGGTACTCCATTTTCATCCTGGTAAAGGAATCAGAGCAATCCAGCGTCTGGTGAGATCTTAGAACAGCCTCGCTCCAGCTCCGTCCTTTAGGGACGTCGTGGGCAGAAGCATACTTAGACCGTTACTGCAAGGCGAAGGCAATCCTCAATCCCTACCCTTACCCACCTACTCCCAACAGATTGGTTTGAGTGCATTAATACAAGAAAATCTCTTGTATTGACAAACAGATCTTGCAAATATTAGCAGAAGGTTATCAATCAACCATTCAATATGAGATAACAATTAAAATCAAGGTAGAGCATTAACATAGCACACATTTCTTAGCATGATCAACAACACAACACTTAAGTCAATGGTTCTCAATCCCAGGTCCTCACAGTATAGCCCTCAAAGGCTTGGCCCCAACCTCAGGCCAGGAAGCGACTTCAACTCTCCCTTTCAAGTAAGCCCTAGCTAACCAAAAAAAGATGCCTGTTGATTTTATTTCCAAATTATAATTGTTGTCAACATCTTCTCCTAAGCACAAGTGAAACCCGTAGCCTGACACTTCTACTCAGCCTCTGAATAAGCGGTTCAGTTCATATTACGGTAGTGATTTTACTTACAACAGGCTGTCCTGGAGTGGGTGGCTTATCTTCCCCGTCACTCCCTGAAGAGATATCATCTGCACCTCCAAAGAGATCCATGGTTCCACTATTATCTTCAACAATGATGAAAAGATGAACAGCATTAATTTCTATAATTAAGGTTCTCCAAAGATAATCATTAACCAGGCAGCAGAAACCACAGATAAACAACTGGGTGCCTGGCTTTCAAACGGCTGAGCAGCACGTCTGCGGCAGGGAGAGGGCAGCGCCAGAGAGGGCAAAGCTTCCTAAGCTGCAGCCTTGCTCTTCCGCTTCCTTTTATTTCCCGGGAGCCCACATGTCCTCCTGCAGTGGTAGAGGTCCTCAAAGTGGAGGTGTAAGCACGCCACACAGGCCAATTTTCTGCCTGAGCACCGCAAGGCTCAACGTTATCGCTCCTCCCTGTACTGGCCTTCAGTCTTCCAGGCCACCGTGCTCTGCAAAACTGAGTTGCTCAAGCTGGGTTACCAGGGGGAATGAATAAGGAAGCGAAGAGGATGGTCAAAGAGTAGACTATTTGAAACTGAGATTAAAGAAAGGCTATTGCTATTGGTAATGACATAGTCTAGGGCAGCGGTTCTCAACCTGTGGGTCATGACCCCTTTGGGGGGAGGGGGTGTCAAATGACCCTTTCACAGGGGTCGCCTAAGACCATGGAAAACACTATTTCCAATAGTCGTAGGAACCGAGACACCGCTTCTCTGTCTCTGGGCAGGTCCGCCCACCTGCAGATACACCCACATACGAGTACCTGATGTGAAGGCTGTTACCTATGCTACACAATGGCTCAAGGCAATCATTTCATTTATTTTGAATTAGGAATAATATTTCACAATATATAATTACATGATGTTTTTATGATTAATCACTATGCTTTAATTATGTTCAATTTGCAACAATGAAAATACATCCTGCCTATCTGATATTTACATGATGATTCTTAACAGTAGCAAAATTACAGTTATGAAGTAGCAACGAAAATAATTTTATGGTTGGGGGTCACCACAGCTGAGGAACTGTATGAAAGGGTCGCGGCATTAGGAAGGTTGAGCACCACTGGTCTAGGGTAAGATAAGGAGAGTGAATTAACGAAAGTAGGACAGAAGGCAAAGTCACTGAAAAAGAGGGAAGGAAGTAAAGGTCAAGGTACTGACAAGTTCATCCATGTGATAAAATTACCGAAACTACAACCTTCACCCCCACTCAGCCAACACTGATAGCTTCTTCTTGGCTATTACCATTATCCAACATACTCTATGTGAGCAAGTCACAGGGGGGATTGTGTTCTCCCAAAATATATGCCAGCTTGACCAGGTCATGATTCTCAGGGGGTTGGCAGTTATGCGATGAACTCCATGATGTGACGGCCGGATGTGATACACCAGGCCTGTACTGCTGTAAGAAGCTTCCTGGGACGTGGTCGACAACACTTTTTCTCCTACAAGGGGGCAGAGACAAAGGGGCCTACTACACCTGGAAAAGAGGCACCAGAGGCAGAACTTATCCTTTGGCCCCGGGGCTCCTGCACTGGAAACTACCTAACTCCGGGGAAGGTTGATGCAAGACACATGGAGATCTCAAAGAAACACAAGGTCCACAGATACTGCCAGGAGACAAGGACCTTCCTCCTAAACTGTTAGGCAACAATGAAAAAGCCTTCTAGAACAGTGTTTCCCAGAGTGAGCAAAACCATCCCGTGGAGGGTGCTGGAATGGTCAGGGGAGGAAGTGGTAAAAACAGATACCTATACTTTGTCCTGGATTGTAGGCGACAGAACTCAAGTTGTTATGGCCTGGGGGTGGGGTGGGACTGGGGGCGGGAATGCTGAGTAATTTTTTTTCTGAAAAAGGCGACGGTAGGAATAGTTTGGGAAACTATTCCCGAGAGCTAGAACTGCAAATCTGGCCTAGGCTTTTAAGACTATGAGAAAATACATTTGGCTTGTAGCATACTTCTGTTATAACTGCACAATATAACTAAGGCAGAGAGTAAGCAAAACGTTTTGTGATACTGAAGTATATGCTAATACAGCTATCAAGAAAATCATGGAGTTCCTAGGTGGCACAGATGGCTAAGCACTCCACTACCATCCAAAAGAAAATCAACAACGTGTTGCTACTAGTGCTCCAGTTTATGCGTGTATGAATTTATGCCACAAGAAATGTGTTCAAACACTGCGATTCAGGGATGGCCGCAACAAGTTCTCTCAGTGATACACTTGGTTAGTCTCATCAGGGGACTACGAGAAGGAGGATACTGTGTGTGCCGTGAGCAAAAAACGATTCTGAGGTCCGGGCTAATGTGCTCACATTTTACTCACCGTGTTATGAGTGGCCCTACCTCAGACCGGTTCCTATTACGTGAGTCCTACAAGGAGGGTCTCATGCAGAGAGCAGTACTGGTATAGTCTGTCCAACAGTGGCTGTGAGCGAAATGGAAGAATGAACGCATCTGCCAAGCTGTGAACCGCTCACCGTGGCTCTCAAAGCCAATTTTTTGTAACTCTCAGCAAACAACTGACTCAGTAGGACTATGCAAATGAGGGATGCTTGTCACCCACTGTGTTGACAATGTAAATAGGGGGCACGGCATCCTTGTGGGGCTTTAATCCGTTCATGGCAAAAACTCCCATAATCTCATTTCACTGTTCCATAAGCATTTTGAAGGTCCCTAATACGGTGTGTATAGAGCCCTAAAGTGGGAACTGGTCAGCTTTGCAAACCCGTTAAGACTTAAAATGAGGGCGACGACCTGAGCGGGTTTGCTGGAATCGCGGCGGCGGCGACTGGGGGCTCTGTTCCACTGCAATCATGTCGATTATGTCCTACAATGGCGGGGCCGTCATGGCCATGAAAGGGAAGAACTGTGTGGCCATCGCGGCGGACAGGCGCTTCGGGATTCAGGCCCAGATGGTGACCACAGACTTCCAGAAGATCTTCCCCATGGGAGACCATCTGTACAT